TTGCACTCCAGGTCACTGTTAGTCCGGAAACACACAGGAAAACAGATGGTATACTGGACATTGCGTGGTGCACACTGTGTACATCTGCCCAGCCCCGACCAAGAGCACAGCTGTTTCACACAGTGCAGAGGAAGGGAAAGTAGCGTACACGACGCATGAGCTTGAGCTGGGCCAGTGCTTTACCAACCTTGGACAGGATGAAATAGGAACTGGTAAGGAAATTAGAAGTATGTGCCAGTGGGGCTATCAAGCTAGTCTTAAAGACCCTTCCCCATGAGAAGCAGAAACTCTTGAAAAAGGCCAAGGAACAACCCAGCGGAGCCAGGGCATGGCTGGAAAACGAGTGCCGTACCGAGGCAAGTATGGTATTCGGGATCCTTCTCAGAAACAATACCCAAATGTGCATTCCCTCCTCGAGGCAATGACCGTCTAGTTTTGATACTTGAATCATTGTTTGAGCCACTATTGCAGTGTTGGTGTGCGTAGATTTTTTAATTTTATTTTGGACCTTCTCACGTACTGGTGTGAAAACTTGGTTTTGTGTTACTTCATCACTTTGTGGGATGTTGTTCGTCAGCAACTTGAGGAACTTTGTTGTTATTCAGTCTGGTGTATTGTCGAACTTTGATGTCGTCAGCAAGACAATTGCATACGCAAAAACAAAGTTGATGGAACATCAAGCAAACTCAATCAAACGCTAGGTCGCTTTTTGCTCCGTTGTTTACTAAGAGGTTACTGATCATTCTTGTGTGGGAGAGCCGTGGTCAAACTTTAGGGCCATTTGATGGACAGCGAGAAGAAGGTGTGTGTCACTGGCGCTTCTGGTTTCCTGGCATCTTGGCTCGTGAAGCGGCTACTGGAGGAGGGATATTACGTCGTCGGGACTGTGCGCGATCCAGGTACATAGAAACGAGACGAAACCCCCCTCATTCTCTTGTTTGTGATATAGACGATGCGAGCAAGACTTCCCACCTGTGGGAGCTTCCGGGGGCGAGAGAGAGGATTGTGCTCAAGAAGGCCGACCTTATCACGCCAGGCACCTTTGACGATATTGTCCAAGGCTGCCATGGAGTTTTCCATATCGCGGCTGCCGTGACTAACCGGTACAAGGAGGATCCACTGGTAACTTCGCTTGACTCCATCGATTCAACAGCTCTCTGGCAGCTTCGGTCTAGTCTTGTATCTCGAACTTTTACTGTCTCTTTTTTCTTGTTCTTTGGTTCTTCTTCCAGACCGAGATTGTTGATCCATGCGTGCTTGGAACTCTGAACGTGCTTAATGCCTGCAAACGATCCACAACAGTCAAGCGAGTGGTGTGCACGTCATCCGTGGCTGCTGTTAGCGCGAGGAACGACTTCAAGCCCGATGACGTCTTGGATGAATCGGTTTGGAGCGCCCCGGACTTCTGTCGGGAGATCGAGGTAAGTTTCTTATTTCCATGAGCAAAGATTCTTACAAGTTTCTCAAGTCTAGATGTGGTATGGTCTGGGGAAGACTCTATCCGAGCAAGCAGCACTCGAGTTTGGGAAAGAAAACGGCTTAGATGTGATCACAATCGCGCCCAGCTTAATCGTTGGAGAACTACTCTCGTCCAGGGCCACCGCAAGCGTTGCCGATATTATCCTACAGCTCCGAGGTAAAGCCTTAATTACAATCTCGGAAGAAAAACAAAAATGATTTCAGATTCCATGCGGGAGCCAAGCAGTGGTTCAATTACGCTGGATACGTCCATCTCGACGACGTTGCTCAAGCTCACCTCCTCGCTTATACAAATCCCAAAGCCAGTGGAAGATACGTTTGTTCTGCGATCAACATGAGTACTATCGACCTCGCCAGCTTCTTGTCCAAGCGGTATCCCAAGCACCAAATCGCCTCCACCGACGAGTAAGATCACGCAAAAAAAAGCTTTGTTTTCTGTCGCTGTTTTATTCTCATTCCTTTGCTTTCTTGCAGGATCGAGGTCGTCTCTCTGGCAGAGTTGAAGGGATTCAGCTCCAGAAAGCTTCAAGATGAGCTTGGGCTCCAATTCAAGTCTCTGGAGCAAATGTTTGACGATTGCATTGCGAGCTTGGAGCGCAAAGGCCTCTTAACTTTGAGTTAGTAGTTTACTGCAACTCAAATAACACGAACACACTTCTTCTCCTTGAATAAAATCTCTCTGATTTGATCCAAGAATTAAAACAAAGAAGATAAAAGTGGACGAGTATAATATCTCTCTCTGTCTCAATTCTTCCAGCAAGAAAAAAAAATGCTCCAACTTTTACATTTGAAGTTTTTGCTGGATGCTCTCCACGTGCACAACTTTCTGGGCGATCCATCAAAGGCCAATTTCTGCAGATTCGTACAGGTCTTAGAGGAACGACTGCATGGCTCTTCGGAGCTACGGACTCTATATTTATCTATCTCAAGCAACTTTATGAAAATCATTAGCATTATTTGGCTTGGGTTGGGTATTGGATTTTCAAGGGTAAGTTGCCAACAGACCGTTGGCATTAGCCTTGTCTGATCTCTGACTTTGGTGCTGACCCGTTACTTAGCCAACTTAGTTGGTTTGAGGCAAAGGCTCTTCTTCTTCAATATCAAACTCTTGCTGTGGTAGAGCATATACTGATTTTGCTCCATTGATTACTATATCAGACAAGACCTTTGCCATGTTGATTAAGGCACTTGACACAGTGGCAAGTAACCTTTCACTCAACTTAGTGAGGAGTTCACTCTTTGCGCTTTTGTAATGTGTGTTTGAGGAAAGGTGGTCCAGCCCGACAATGTGATAGTTATTCCGCATCTGTTATTAGTTACCAGGTAGATGAATCATCCCAGATTTATGTTTTAGCTTTACAGGTTAATATACATCATCGCTCAAGCGAAGGGAATGAAAGTTCCATTGCATTGTCCAGCTTGAATAGTTAAAAAGCACTGTTTCCCGGTTACTGATAATTCTTGTGAGAGAGAGCCGTGTTCAACTTTAGGGTCATTCCATGGCGATGGCGACACCACCGCCGTCGTTCCAGACGACGTCGATCCATGCCCGGCGAATCCCTCGTCAGTGCTCAAGAACACGCTGTGCAAGCTCTCGCGAAACTCACCCTTTTCGAAGCTTGGTTTCCTTCGTGAAGCGGCTACTGAAGGAGGGACATCACGTTGTCGGGGTACTTAGGCTAATCGATTCTACTTAGAAATTGCTTTTGTTGTTTGTGCGAGCTTCCGGGGGAGAGAAAGAAGGCCGACCTTGTCACGGAATTAGGCGCCTTTGACGATATTGTCCAAGTTTTCCATCTCGCGGGCCGTGACTTTCAGCTACAAGGAGGTAACTTTGCTTGACTCCTTCGATTCAACAGCTCTCTGCCAGCTATGGTCTAGTCTTGTATCTCGAACTTTTACTGGTTCGCTTTTTCTTGTCTTTGGTTCTTCTTCCAGACCGAGATTGTTGATCCATGCGTACTTGGAACTCTGAACGTGCTCAATGCCTGGAAACAATCCACAACAGTCAAGCGAGTGGTGTGCACGTCATCCGTGGCTTCTGTTAGTGCGAGGAACGACTTGATGAATCGGTGTGGAGCTCCCCAGACTGCTGCCGTGAGATTGAGGTAAGATTCTTATTTCCACAAGCAAGAAAGAACGAATTCTTACAAGTTTTTCAAGTCCAAATGTGGTATGGTCTGGGAAAGACTCTACCCGAGCAAGCAGCACTCGAGTTTGGGAAAGAAAACGGCATAGAGGTGATCACAATCGCTCCCAGCGTCGTGGGAGAACTTCTCTCGTCCAAGGCCACGCCACCGCAAGCGCTGCCGATATTCTCCGACTGCGAGTGATCTCGAAAGCAGAACAAAAATAGTTTTGAGATTCCAAACACATTGTAGGAGCCACGGACTGTTTCGATCAGGCTGGATACGTTCATCTCGACGACGTTGCTCAAGCTCACCTCCCTGCCTATACGAATCCCAAAGGCACTGGAAGATATGTTTCTTCGATCAACATGAGCTCTACCGAGCACGCCAGCTTCCTGTCCAAGACGCATCCCAAGCACCAAATCGTCCCCCTCCTCCCCCGACGAGTAAGATCACGCAACAATTTTTTTTAATTTTTCTCGCAGTTCTCATTCCTTTTCATGCTTGCAGGATCGAGGTCGTCATATTTCACGGGATTCAACTCCACAAAGCTTCAGGACGATCTTGGGATCCAATTCAAGTCGCTGGAGCAAATGTTTGAGGATTGCGTTGACAGCTTCGAACGCAAAGGCCTCATAACTCGAGTTTGATAGTTGACTTTAATGCTAAGGAAATCCTCCTTGAATAAAGTCTCTGTGATTGTGATCGAGCATCCAAGAAAACAGAGAACAAGATTAAAGTCCATGTGTAGAATACCTTTGTCATCAATGCCTGTCTAAATCGTTTGGGATTGGCAGACACTAGTTTCTAAAATGTACACTCGAACATCCATTCAAACCATCTTCGCTCGCATGTCTTCAATGCAGAATTTGTGCCGATTGTGTAGTCGTCAAAGACGAACCCAAATTTGTGTCAATCGCTGCAGCGACCCAGTCTCGCAAAAACTCTTTTCTAATTTCCACTCTTTATACGATGCTTGCCACTATTTCGTGTCCTAGTGAAACAAAACTTGGTGTAAAAGTTCCATACCACCACGTTTGACCGGCAAACAGTGAGAGTTTGACTGGCACTGCGCTGGTCAACCCTGCCACCTCCGAGAAAGAAAAAAACAAATGCGAAGGTTTTACATGCCGGGTGCCATTCCGGGAACCAGCCAATTCCTGTGAACCCTCCCTGCTATAAATTGGAGCCTCCTCTCTCACATCTCCATAAATCGACGATCATAACTGAGGTCCACTCTACAAATTTGGAGCTCTTCCATCTCTAATTCCAGTTCTAATCCCAGTTCTCCTAATAGATTCTAAAAAATCGAGAGAATCGATCGCAAGTGCAAGTCTCCTGCTGTCGAAAGCTCTCCCCAATTGCTGATCGGATTTTGCGCCCTTGATCCAAATGGCAATGACGTCGCCTCTATCGATCCACGATCCTCTGTTCTTCGACGATGATGACCAATCCATTGGCGAGGTTCGCAATTCCCAATTTACCGAGGACGAGATCCTTGGCCGCATGGAATGCCTGGGCATGATCCACGCCTTCGTCACGCCCTTTGTGCTCAACGCCGCCATCAAGCTCCGGGTCTTCGACATCGTCGCGCACGCCGCAATTCCTCCCACCGCGGAGGAGATCATGGCCAAAATCTCCTCCTCGTCCTCATTCGCCGCCACCGCCCCCGCCGCCACTCCCCAGCTCGGGGTGCTCCGCCGGATCCTCCGGTTCCTGTCGCAGAGAAAGGTCCTCCGCCACGTCAGCCGAGACGACGGCCACGTCGGCTACGCGCTCACGGGAATCTCCACGTGGCTGGTCCGGAGCCGCGCCAGGTCGGACTACCTCGCCCCGCTGCTCGCCATGGAAATGCATGCCAGGTGTCAGGCGTCGTGGCAGAGGCTCCACGAGGTCGTGCTCGACGGCGGCGATGCGTTTGATCGTGCGAACGGGAACTACTTCTGGGACACCGGCCGCCATGACGCGCAGTTTAACCGCGTGGTAAACGACGCGATGATCGCGTTTAGCACCGCCACCATGTCGCTCGTGCTCGAGAGCTACCGTGGATTCGCGGGCATCCGACGGCTGGTGGACGTTGGCGGCGGCATGGGCCACTCAGTGGCCAAGATCGTGGAGGCATACCCCCAGATCCAGGGAGTTAACTACGACCTCTCGCATGTCATAACGACGGCGCCGAAAATCCAAGGTAAAAATGCTTGCCGCTGACCTGGGCCTGTGAGAGTCTTACACGCGGCTGGCTTACATTTGCAGGCGTGGAGCACGTCAGCGGGGACATGTTTGAGAGCGTGCCCGCGGCGGATGCCATTTTCATCAAGGTGAAGCTATTACTTCTTACTTGGCGGCTAGATTAATTAACGCTGGATTTGCATTAATGCAGTCGGTTTTACATAATTGGGACGACGAGCACTGCGTCAAGCTCCTCAACAATTGCTACCGAGCGCTCCCGCAAGATGGGAAGCTCATAATCGTGGATATCATCTACAAGTCGAGCGATACTTTCGCAGCGCTGGAGGCCAACTTGGACATGATCATGCTGGCCTACACCACGGGCGGGCAGGAGAGAACTCCCAACGAGTGGGAAGAGCTTCTCATCTCTTGCGGCTTTGGCGGGATCACGTTCCACACAAACATGCCGACCAAGGAGGGAGTGATCGAGGCTTACAAGATGGTAGAGTTGCGGGACGACGAGCAAGAGAGGATCTCAAGGCTGTGAACGAGAGAGATGCTTAAGATCTCCATGGAACAACCATGGAGATTTTAAATTCTAAACTGTACATAAATCAAAGCAAAGTCTTCAAAAACATACTTTACATCTGTTATCTAAACTGTACAAGAATCAAAGCAACGTTTTTAAACAATGTGGATCATACTGCTTGCGAGTAGCAAAGTTTTCTAGCGAGCTTTGCGATATCGTTGGATCCTGGCTCGTCTTTTCCAATCCTCGAGTCGGCGAAAACCACACACAAACCTGTCGCGCCTGCCAAAAACCACACACGAGTCAACGACCTTAAACATCATCCTGGCACAAATAGAGAGGGCACAGTGAGAAAAACAAAAACAATCAAAGAGTTTTCTCCTCGAGTTCTTGACAAAAACCTTTGCTTGGTTTGAGCTCCAGATTCAAAGTAACTGGAACGGTCAGACGAGGAATGCATCAGCCATTCACGCGAAGAGAAGAAACTTTCCAGAGATCTCAAGAGTCGCACAAACGAGGAAACGTTTTAAACGCCTACTAGTCAAATCGATCACCCACCAAAACAAGGAAAAGAATAAGAAAGATCTAGGAACTCTAGAGCTCTACGCATAGCACGGCCAGCTATGTCAACACCAAATCCCCCAGAGAAAGACGTACCTCTCACGTATGACCACATGAACCGCTCGAGCGCGGATCCACTACTGCTCATCAGAGTTGACAACGCGGCAATCCCGGCGGACTTCGCCTCGATCGCCAGTCAGCGCGATGCTTCCCAGTTTGACCATGGCTTCGCCAAACGCCTCCAGGAACCGCGACTCGTCGTACGCGTAGGCTTCCACCAGGCCCACACTGACGAGGGAGTCCTCGGACAAGTTCTCGGAAGAAGAAGAGGGCGACAGCACCGAAAGGAGAGCCTGGTCCGAGCTCAACACCCCCCGGCGAAGCTGCAAGTTGGCGAAGTAGCTATTGTCGAAGCGAGCCGGGGAGTAGACGTCGAGCATGGCGATGGCGTTCGCGTCGCCGCCCCGCGGGCAGAGGCGCTGGAGGTGGCGGAGGAGCTCCGGGTCGAGGTCGGGGTCCGGGGAGCCCGACCTCTGGTGGTCGTAGAGGCGCTGGGTGAAGCTGGAGCAGCGGGAGAAACCGATGGTGTGGGAGCCGGAGAGGGTGACCATGTCGGCAGTGGAGAGGCCCTTGTTGGCGAAGGCGGCGATGAGCTGCGAGAGCGTCGAGTTTGGCGCGGGGATGTCCGTGTTGGCGCCTTTGAAGTTGGGCTCGAGGCTGTCTCGTCGGCCCAAGAGGACTTCCCAGGGATGGCCTCCGCTCTGTCAAAGAACACTTAAGCTATATCAGTATCGCAGGAAAACTTGAACGATCACCGATGAATCCTTCCCAGTGCCAATGCAGGTGGATGGGAAGCTGCATTGCATGTTGTAACATAAGAACACGAATCTCTGTATCGAATGGATCACCCAGATTGCAATGCAATAGGCGGGAAAAAATGAAATGAGACAAGCGCGAGACTTTCTCTCGAAAGAATCAATGAAAAGCAAGCTCGGAAGAAGAATAGAATGAAAAAACGCAAGCTACGTTCACTAAATGAAAAGGAGGAACTCGAAAACGAAGAAAGAAGGATGAACCACGAATTCCGAGCAAACAGGCACTCGAGATCCACACACACTAAGCCATACCAGAACAACGGAATCCCGGGCGGCTATGGCCAGCAGATCGGCGCACGACACCACGCCCTCGCACTCCCGCTCCACAGCCGCCTTGATCGCGTCGATGACCTCGAATCCCCGGGCGGAGTTGCGATTGGGACTGGCCGCCTTCTCGCTCTGGAGCTCCGGCGTCGCGTCCAAGAGAATGGATCCATCGCAGCCCTAGAAGAGAGAGACACACCAAAACGATTTTCATAAAAGAGAGGCAAGGTTTCGCTTTTACGCTAACAAAACAATCGTGGAAATGGAGACGAGAAGAAGGGACGCTCCAACACGCCCATCACGTCCCACCGCCTCCTCAAGAACAGCGCGTGCGATCTCTTCCACGCCAGGGCAAGAGTGCGCGTAGTAATTTGAAGCGAGACCATCACCCTGGAACGCGAATGCTGGATCATCCGCGGGAGGGCGGAAGAAGAAATAATTCGGCATCGCGCAGGCGATCGCCATGGAAGCCGAGAAAAAGCATAAAGTTTTGCTCATGGTAACAGAAATGCAATATCAATTGCCCGTTTGATCAGCTGGATGGACTGATATCCCTAAGGAGTAATATGCTCTTTAACCAGCGTTCTTGCTTCCCCACGACCGCCTGACATTGTCAGCCCTATGATTCCATGCGGCACAATGCAGACATCCTCGGGGAGTTATACAATGACATCCCACGTCCAGCACAGGATGAACGTATGGATCTCACCCAGAAATTTTAAGCCACTTCATTGATGGAAGTTCTTTCCTTCATTTTGATGCATCCTCGCGATGCTCTCAGTCTGCATTTCCACTCGAAGTTCTGTGCTCCGGCTATGCAGCTGTGCCATCCTTGCACAATCACTCTAAATGCCCTAAAAGCTTTGATGACTAATTTTTGAGCCAGGAAAGATTTTAGACTTCTTTAATCTGCAACAACTTGAGAACTGTTGAGGATTAGAAGGGCTTCAACCTGGAGGTGATCGACTTGGAGCTTTGTGAATAGAACGATTAATACATTTGTCTTCAACACAGAAAGATACTAAGAAAGGTGGCAGAAAAGATTATTAATCGAAGGAAAATAAACACCACTGTGGAAGTTTTGTTGCTTGAAGCTCTTTCGCTGTTTCCAGCCAAAGAACAAACTCTGTTGATTAAAAAAATTCTGGAAACGAAAGGGCTTGTGTGAAGAGTGAGCCAGGACTGACTGTCACTCACATTGCCTTTATCCTCCTTTGCTGCCAGCATCCTTCTCAAATTTTACAGGTTTGTGCTGGAATCTTTAAATGCAGGGAGTGTGAAGTGAGTACTACTCTTCCAGAGCCTACTTTTTTTAATGAAGAAGAGTCTAAAGCTATTCACATGCTAATCTCAAGTTTAAAATGTTTATATAACATCTCCAGGCTGTGCAACATCTCACTTGAAAGTGAGTGTTTTAAAGTTGGATTCTTAATTTAGTAATAGTTATAATACCTAAGTTTCAAGAGAATAGTCTCAGGAGAAAGCCAGCAGCTTCACGCAGAGGCGGAGGAGGCTGGCTGAGGCGCAGGGCAAGCAGATGAGCACCATCAATCTAACTATTAGACGACAGTCTATCCTAGTTGTCAGGGTATAATGTTTAGAACTAATTAGATTGTTAAATCCCATAAAGCATTAAAGAAGAATTCATTGAAATCATTCCCATCATTTATATATCTATATCTTCAAGAATGCTGGAAGGCCAGCTCAATGATCCTAACAAAATCTCACTTTGGGCAGTTTTAATCATCTATAGTCATATGGTTTGGAAGTTGATGATCTATAGCTTGAGAATGGTATTTATGCTTTGCTGATAGCCTTGAGCTTGAGCAGTCATGACACCTGCTTGAAATAGAGGTCAATTGTTTGCTTACAGTGCCTCAAAGCTGTGCCAAGATGTGGTTTAAGGAAGGATGGTCTTGATGAGCCAGAAACATATATCATGCTTTCAAACCTTTACAACTAATAGATCTTGTTTGAGATGTTTTCATGTACAACTTTGGCCACTACAATCTTAGTATGTTGTGAGTGCTAGCTTTGATAGCATTTTGGATGCTGGATTTTTTTTCTATATTTTTAAGGTGTTATGATAATTGATAAATGATAAATAATTTCTGAATTATTCATATTAAGAGTGACAGAGCCTTATTAAAATTCATAAATTTTATGATAAATTCAAAGAAAATTAAGTTTTTCTGCTAAGTGCAAAAATTTATTAGATCTTGTAGCACTTCAACATTACTTTAATAATATATTATAAAAAACAGAATAGAATATGATAGTGGTTTTCTGTATAAGGTTTTTTAATTAATGACAGATACAAGCTTGTTCTTGACCTCAAATTGCCCACCTACCCCACTTTAGCTAGAATGCTATAATGCTATAATGAGCAATGTTTCTCCACACAAATTAGCTAGCTATGGAACATGTGGCCAGAGGTCTTATGTCAAATCTATCAAATGAGTCCATGAGCAAGAGAGAGCCATCCAGGCTCCCCTTTCCCTTGATTATGTCCAGTGATAGAAGAGAGATTTCTAGTGTTCTCTGTTGGATATGAGTGCATCTTCACCAGTTGCCACTCTCTATCACTAATAAGGAAATTTTAATGTCCTTTAAAATGCATTATTATTAAAATTTTGTTTGCCACCTTGAGGCCATGACCTGGTACTTATTAGGAGAGTATAAATGTGGTGGCAGAGGTCCTAGTGCCATAGTTTGAGCCACCAGGAACAGTTGAATCTTATATAAATTTAAATTTTTATAAATACTATCTTAGCCATTAATTATATTATAAGATTTAATCTCAGCCATAAGGAAAAGAATATTCTAAGAATGTCCTCAAGAATTTGATAACTCAAAATAGATTTTTATTAAATTCAAGAGTATAAGTTGATTATATTTTAAGATACTGTTTAATATGAAAAATATTAAAATAATTATAAATCAATTAAAATTAAATAAATATTGAAAAAAATAAAATAATAAAATAAAATAAGAAATTACCAAATAAAATTTTAACATATTATTAAAAGAAGTTTTTATTTACATAAGCATGAACCTTACCAAATAATGTTTTAAAGAAACATAATAATAATAAAACTAGAAATATTAAGTGATTCATTATTATAAATATCCATTTAGTATGCAGATGGCAGATAGAGGCACTAGAGATGGCTTTGTGTCAAGGTTAGAAGCTAGAGCAGTGGGAGAAACCAACAATGTGGGAACTAAAAAGGCTAACCATATTAGTGGTGGAGAGACTTTGTTGCAAAAGCTGCAATAAGTGTCAAGTTTACCAAAGGGATGTTCTAGTTGATGGCTTTGAATTTAAGTTCGAGGCCTTGG